CAAGGACTTGTTTACCCAATTAAACACAATGGTGGATAAGAGTTGGAGAGATAAGAGTGTTGGTAGTGATCTTAATTGTGTTTCTGCTTAGGACAAGTTCATGGGCTTTGTAGGTTTTTTGGTTGACCTTAATGTTGTTTGAGTTTTGCATGGTCATGGCAGAGCATGGAGGTAGTCAGCATTCGCAAAAGAGGTGAAAAAGAAGTGCCGAGGTTTTGTTCACGATAATGTATGTCCTGCTTACTGTATTTAGACTGACCTTAAATGTACCCGTTTAAACTTTGGAATTGTTATGTTCATCAGGGCACTCTTGGAAGAAGAAGGAAGACATGCTCAAACGTGGTCTAATCAGCATTCAAGAGAAAGAATAATAGGTATTTGTCATTCAGCATGAAATAATGTTTTTAACAACTGTGAATTACCATTATTTAGTTATTCAACAATTCAAACATTAAATAATTATTGATTTAGCATACTTAGAGAGATGTTAAAAAGTAAAATGTTTATCCTCCTAATTTTTATCTATCGACTGTACTGTGTGTTGTTTATATCTGTAGATATAAAAATGCCGACCCATCCTTATACTCCAAGAGTGTCCGTCAATTCAGTAAGTCAATCAGATAGAAGACAAAAAGCCTTCACAGGATATGATGTTAAATATATGGAGCCTATTTCCAGCCTGAGAACCTCATCTACATCAAGTCAGTTTCACTCTCACGAACCCTCCAGGATTGTGCCTATCAGTGTATCAAATCGTGCCCACCAAAGTCCTGCTTCAAGAAGGGACATGATTTCCTTCACCAAAGCAGCGCAGGCAGCTGCTTCCAGTACCACGAAACCTGGAGTCTCTTCTGTTGAGATAAAAAGAGAGGAGACAGATCAGAGAATTATAAAAAAAGAGGTATCACAGCAGTCTTCAAAGGGCTCCAAAAGTACACCAAGCTCTACAGCATCAAAAATAGAGAAACCAAAGCCAGTGAAAGTGATATCACCTCCTGCGAACTTGAGTAAGACCACCACTGAAGAAAGCGGTCAGAAAGATGATGAACTAAAAGCAATGAGGATGGATGTCAAACAAGATGAAAAAAAATCCAAGGCAACAATGAAAGAAGAAAGAAGGGATGTGAAAGAATCAATAGCTGAAGATGAGAGAGAGTCTGAAAATGTAGGACACAAGGTGTTTGTAGGTGAGGAAAAAGTATTAGATGCAGTTTCTATGGAGGAAATCATTCAGCAGGTCATGAAACCAGCTGGTTTAGATTCTAAGGTCAGCTCATCCCCTGACTCAAAAGTCACATATCATGTGGAGAAAACAGAGCAAGAGGATGGAACCACCAAGACTCAGATTGTCTTACAATCTAAAGTCGAGGAGGAGCTGGACCTGTCTGAAGATTCTGCCTTGGAGGAACTTCTCAGCAAGGGAGTCAAGATAGTGACCCTGGAGAACATCAAAGGAACCCCAACAGGAGCCATGATCGAGAACTTGCTGAGTCTTGGCCTGCAAGGGGGGAGTTTGGAAAATAGGTTAGTGAATGTGGAGATAATCCAAGAACCTGTGGAGTCTGATGAGGAGGGTGAAATTGAAATAGAGGAGACTGTGGAGATTAAGTCTAAACAACCAAATATCGATCCCTCATCAATGTTCTTCCAAATCGAGGAGCTAGAGAGTGACCCTAAGACCATGAAACCCTGTGAGAGTGGTTCTGCTGAAGCCTCACAATATGGAAACAGTGGCTCTGTGCAGGTTCAGGAAGTTACCAGAGCTGAAAGCTTACCCTACTTCTCACATGGCCAAGACTCACAAGAGTACTTTGTCTCCACTCCTGAAGACAATATGTCAGAGTCTGAGGAGGGTGGGAGATTTATGTCTTATAGCCATTATGGAGTTGTGGATGATCTGTCTGATGAACGACATTACCAGGAAGACGACCCCAAACAAGGTCACAGTTACAGAGATTCACCTGAATACGAACACTCGTTTTTGAGAGACAATATCCAAGACTGTATAATTGAAGAGGAGGTACATGTCTCTCCCACCCTGCAACAGTCCATAGTGGGGATCCTGAGGGAGGACTCACTAGACCCTGAACAGCAGCTTAGAGGAGCATTAGAGCAAATCCAAGACACTGTATCTGGAGCCCTCAAGGAAGAGCTTGCATTTTTTACGAAAGGTAGAGAAACTCCAGAAAATGTCTCTGTGGACATTAAAAAGGTAGAACAAGTTACAGACAATGGAACCATGACCATTGTGGCAGAGCTTAATGTGTCCCAGACACTGGAGGAATCTGGATTGCTGGAAGGAGGAGGAGATGATCTATCTGAGGAGCAGATAATGGCAGCACTAAGCTCATCCCACCCAAAGGGCCAGCAGGCTATCGGTGGAGGAGCTGGAGTGGGATACACCATGAAAATTTCTCAAGAGGAGATTCAAATGGAGGGAATGCCTTGGATAACCGGCGACGAAGAGATCCGAGAATGGAGCTCAACCGATGATGTTGGCAAGACAGAAAAACACATCAAGCTGGGCCCTAGTGAGAAATCCTTCACTTTTCAGATGGATGTGAACAACGGCTCTTCTGCATCAGAAAGTGGAGGAGCCGTCGATGTACAAAGAGGTGGCGTTGCTGCTGAGTTCTCACAGACCCAGATGATTGACCCTCACTTGAAGGTCTGTCATGAGAAAAGAATCGCAACTGTTTATCTTGAAAGCCCCAAAGAGTGATATCATAATGAAATAACATTGAAATTACACATTATGTCTCCAAATATCATGTCAATCACATCAGGTGTTGTAAAACATAATCCAAAATCCATGGCCCATCATGACTATACACTACTGTTCAAAAGTTTGGAGTCAGTAAAAAAAAATATTTTATTCAAAAAATATGTATTAAATTGATCCAGTTACAGTAAAGACATTTATAATGGTTTCTGTTTCAAATAAATGATTCTGAAGGATCATGTGACACTGAAGACCGGAGTAACGGCTTCTGAAAATTTAGCTTTGTCATCAAGAATATATTACATTTTAAAATATACTTAAACAGTAATTTGAAATTTAACTAATATTTCATTATAGTACTGTTTTACTGTAATTTTGACCAAATAAATGCAGCTATGGTGAGCATAAATGACTGCTTTCAAAAACACTGCAAAATCTTCCCGACCCCAAACGTTTAAACAGCAGTCTATCTGACATACAGTAGCTAAAGTGTTAACTAAGCTAAAGCTAATCACTTTAATACTCTGTTTTTGTTTGATCTTGAAGTATATATTTTTATGAACTATCTGGACATTTTGTTTTACTTCATTTTCATATAGTGCAACTTTATCTAAGAGAAAAAGGGAAATACGTTTTCTTTTCAACTTTCAAGTAGCAATCCTTTTAAAAATATTCATTGTTGACTTTGTTATAGTACCGTACTGTGTTTCTACTTTCCATAGCATTGCAAAAACAAGCTTATAATGTCATAAAATCCTTTTTATGAAATATCATGTTAAAGAATGAACAGATGGAGATATTTCGAAAGTATGCAGAAATTGTAGAGTAGTGCTCACTTTAATTGGCCGTTTATTTGTCTGTTATTCAAAACGGTATTCATAGTATCACAGATAATTTCAGTAACAAATTTGAATTTTTTCACACCCATGAAATGAGTTTATATAGTGGTCTACATTTGGTCACAGTCTAGCTCTACTGAAGGCGAAAAGCACTAGACTGTCGACTGTCCTTCCTGTCTCCCAGAGATCTCTTAATCCTTAAATTACATTAGACCAGCAAGGACTAATCTAGCAATCCTGCTCTTCCAGGACAACACATTTTTCATTGCTCTAGTACTGTACAGAAACGGTAAGAGGGGGAAGAGTTTGATTGTAGAAATCTCACATTAAAAATAAGTGCTAGGCAGCTTACACAGAAGTGTGCAAGTGCTTCCAGAATAGCTATTCGGTGCCATTAAGTCTGCGTCACAACCTATTACACAGAATGAGGATTCAACTTCACTAAAGGGGGGTGACTAATGAGAGTCTATTTTTAGGATGCATACTCTGCCACTGACACCTCCAGGTAAAATAGTGTAACAGCTTAAGTCTGAAGATTTTAAGTGTAAGCATTTGCATTTTCCTCTATTTATCTTTAAGATATTCATGTTAACGTCATCAGATGCTGCAATGGTGACTGTCCTGTGCCTATTAACAGTGATGGGGATAAAAAAAAAAGAGTATAATCTAGAATGAGGAAGCATATAACAATTTCAACTTCATTTAGTCTCATTTAGCGTTTCATTTAAATAGCTTTTTATGTCTGTATTATCCTAAACTATTAAAAAAATCAAAAAAATGAGATCCTCAATATATGTTAACACAGTGAACCCAGGGGTTTTGCAAGTTTGGATAAATTTGATTTTACTCTCTTAAACATATAAAACCTAAAAATTAATAACCAGTGGTGCTCATTTATTTAATTACTTTTCCAATGACACTCATAGCGGAATGTCACTCACGGTATGATTTTTCACATTTAAGTGACTTTGCGAAATTATATCCAGTATAATGCAAATGAAACACATTTCTGGTTTACTGATTAGGCTGGGTTACATAACACAAAAAAAGGTTGGGGAAACACTACGTTAACAGATACATGATAAGTGATTAAGGCTTAGTTTTCAATATCATTATTAACCATTTCCAGCCATTTATCTGCATCCCTTGAGATGGTGTTTCAGCACCTGCTGTTCTTTGTCTGAATCTATGCATAGGGTTCTATGACTCAACCAACACTGTGTGAAACCTCTTTTTGTGCATCTACAGATTTACAATATGCTATACAAGAATTACTGCCATAGCAAAGATTGGTTTGGGATTGCATATTACAGATGTATTTTTGCTAAATGGAAATTCACAAAAGGGGTGTTGTGTGTGCTATTGTACTCTTAAGAAAAAGACTAGTCTGCTCACTTTCTGAACATTGGTTTATATGCAAACACAATAAACAAACCCTTATAAAGTTCATGTCGTGAGTTCTGCTCAATTCTCAGAAATAATATGACTCTAAAGCTCTTTAGAGTTTAGAGAGGCCTGCAGCTCTCCAGTCAGGAAGTATTTGCAGAAACTGCTGTGAACGGTGTATTAGATCACCGCTGGACAGTTCTACTTTTTTGAAGTGCAGAGGTAGTCACCTTGCCAACCACTCTGAGACTCAGCAACAGAGATTAAAGATACAGTGGAGCTTGTGTGTTGTTCTAGAAATATTGCCTTGTTTTTTTCCAATCCACAGATTTCCCATGGTGAAATAGGATGATGTCAAACATCCCTGAAAGTCCATGCCACATTCATTAGATCCGTCTGCTGGTCACTGCTGTTACGAGTCAGACATGCTAGATGCTACTTCAGAAGCAGATACCACTGCACAGAATGGAGGTCTTGTTTCAAGACAACCTTCCTTGCGTCTTTCACTGACCTCTGGTGACCTAAAAAAAAAAAGACCATAAAGCATTAAATGCCTCATCTATAAATAATATTCACTTTTACTACCATGCTACATTCCGATGAAATGCCAGCGTACTGCAATGAAAGCACATTTTTAGAGTGCACTGTGACTTCCTGCTATAGTGTGACTGAGTAGGAAACTCACTGAGACAGCATGTCCACGGTTCTATGTGTGGCTTTGGTTTTCTTGTGCTGAGGACCAAACAGCAAATTCACAATATCCAGACACTGAAAGAGACAGATATGGGTGGTTGGCAAAACATTTGGGAAGCTGACATGTCCTGTGGTGCTATATTATATATATATATATATACACACAATATATACTGTATGCGTGTATATTATATATATATATATATATATATATATATATATACATACACTACCAGTCAACATTTCTATTTTATTTTATAATTAAGTTTTTTTTTCTCACCCGACTGCATTTATGTAATAAAAATACAGTAAAAACAGGGTCCCACTTTATATTAAGTGGCCCTAATACCTGTGTACTACTTACATAGTAACCACAGTGTAAGTCCACATTGGTACATAGTATCTAGAGCTGTAATATTTCTGTAACTACACACATGTAACAACCCTCCGAATGGTTTGTGTAAGTACAAATGTGTAACAGGACATATATAACTACATTTTGTAACAACAATATGTATAAGAGTAAATGGAACAATTTGATCCAGGGGGTGGAGATGGGTAGTTTTAGGGATATGTATAGTGGGAGGAGTTGGATCTCAAGTTGGTGGAGTTGGTGCACCAATGTAATACCAGTGTACTTACAGTACATGGCAACTCCTCTGTTACATACGTGTAGTTCAACAAACATTACAGCTGTAGATACTATGTACCAATGTGTACTCACACTGTGGTTACATACTATGTACACATCTAGTTACTATGCAAGTACACAGGTATTCGGGCCACTTAATATAAAGTGGGACCAAAAACAGTAATACTTTTGTAATATTTTTGTGTACTACAATTTAAAATAACTGTAAATAATTCATTTATTCAAAGGTAGTAAATATATATTTCTTATATAAATATAAATAATAAAAATATGATTATGTATTTATCATAAATTATATAAATTTGTGCAGCTTTTAAGAATTACAGTACTATGAGGCTCCATATGAGGAATAGTTGTACTTTTAAGTTGTTAATTTGTCAAACGCAGGACCATTTTAAAATAAAAAGAAATGGTGACCAGTTGCAGGAATTTATACCGTCATATACATTTTTATCTAAATGACATGTTGATGACACATGATGCATAAACAACCCAAATGGTTGTGAATTATGGCCAAATACAGAAAATGCAATCAAACACTGGACTATCAACAGACTTCCTGAGCAGTTTTAATAAAGAATTAGGCCTAAGGTTCATCATCCTTTTGAAAATTATGATCATTATCATCATTTTATTTCATAAAGGATTGAAAAGCTTAGTGAACAATAAAGAGCTGGCTAAGGTATGATAGTCAAAAAAACTGCCTGTGAATGTGAAACGTTATAAAAAAATCAATTTAAAACTCTTACATTTTAAAACCAAGCATGTAAACTTTACTGCTCTGTGTGTGGGGCTCGATGTAGTGGACAGCATGACTCTGATTTCACAGACATAGTAGAGAGGAGGAGTGCCTTTGGCACACAGATATTACAGCATACCTGGCCAAGCCACTGCATTTCCTCAAATAAACCCTCTCTCATTCACTCAACCACATCTTCAAAACAACAACAGCAACGGTTTGGAAGAAAAACACTCGAAATTATGACATGACAGCAGTCTTTCCAAAGGAAAGTGCTGTTCAAAGTTTCCTTTATGACTGAAAAGTCTCAGTCCATGTTTTCATCACTTTCCAAAGGCAAAAGTGATGTCATGGGGCCCACTTCAACGGGAAAACAGTCACAGCGTGGCTCAAAAGTGTGTGCGTCTATTATAAAAACCTGGACTGCATATGCGTCTAAAGACCAAACAAAACTTTGTTTAATACAAAGAAACAAACATAATATACAATACACATATAAAATTGAACTTTATTATTGTTTATTTAAATCCCTGTTTCTGTTTTAACCCCAAACCCCTGGCTTTAGGCCAAAGTCTAAACTGGGAGTGTGTTGCTCTGCTGCAGCTGCTGTCATGATTACAGGAGAAAGAACATGATATGAGCTGCTTGAAACTGTCAGAGGGAATGTGGAAAGGTTAGTAGCCTGAGGACGTGCAGAGTGTGGGACCACTGATTCACAACCCCCCGAAATGGAGCTCTTCGATATGACAACAAAGGAACATAGTAACAGTGCTCATTTACAGACCAGTGGGGACAGGTTTCCAAAGATAAACAGGCAGGGTTTCAGTGTGACCACATCAAAATAAAATAAAATCCATTTGCATATTTAGGACATACAAAAGACGTTTGGAATGTAAATGAAAGGGATAATGTTTTCAAATCTTCTTACTGCAGCAGATGCTAAGAGCAATGACACAAAAGAGAATAAATAACGTTGCAAATCAGAGTGTGGCATGACTCCTGGAGGAGGACATCGAGGGAGAAATAAGCTGTCCAAGACATTAAGAATAACACTGTCCAGTCCAAAAATAGTCAAGCTTTAAATAAAGAACAAGTTACCAAAACAAACAGACTGTCCAAGGTAACATGCCTACTCCATACGTACATGTTATATAAGTTAGAAGACATAATTTTAGAATGCTACTTTTCTTCATGAAGGTCTCATGAAGGTCAGTGCCCTTTTAACAGCACTTAGCAATGTTCCAATGGCTATGAAAAAGTCTGGCTGCATCCAGAAGGACCAAGAACACAATGTTATCCCTTGGAACATTTTATATAAGAAGAAGCATCCCCTCTGAGGCAAAATATCATTCACGCTACACTCCAAGATTAGAGCATAGCTCTGTGGACATACAGTAAGGTCCTCAAGAGACTTGTCAAAATAGCTGTTCAGATCTCTTTTTGTGCAAACTGCAGAAGCTCAGTCTCTAGCAATCGTGCATGGAAGGATTCTGACGAAGCAAATAATATTTAATTTTTAAACTGTTTTTGATAAAAAAAATCTATTTTATACCATCAGAAGTCCATATAGATGTAGAATTAAATTCAGCAAACCGGTGATGTGTATTTAAAGTTGAGATGTAATGGAAGTAGCAACAAATCTTGTTTTTCATATTGTGACATACCGAATAAAGAAGGAAAAAGGAACTTGGTTCTATCCATCAATTGTTGATTGGATGCAGGTTAGTGACCATGCATTATATTTGATTCACCTTCTTGAAGGTCCTGTGGGCATGTCTCATCTGACCCTGTGTCATCTCCACTCCACCAATCAGCTGCAGCGCTTTGGCCACCTCTGCACTCAGCTCACCAAATTGACTCTTCTTATAGGCTAGAGACTCTCTTTGGATCTCAGCACATCTCTGAAACACAAAAACAGCGTATAAGAAATAATCCCAACTTTAGGACCATAATCATCATAGATATGACATGTATCCTCAAAGTTTCTGAACAGTGGTCAATCAGTAAGGTTTTTCAATGATCAATCCTTAAACTTTTACATATGGTAACTGCATGTCTTGATCAAGTTAAATCCTTAATAAACACTACTGTTCAAAAGTTTGGGCTCGGTAAGATGAATTGTTTTTGAAAGAAGTCTCTTATTATTCAAATTTAAAATAGCTTTTCTATTTGAATATATTTTAAATTTGTATTTATTAATACTTTTTATATTTATTAATATAATAGTAATACTTTTGATCAATTAAATGCATCCTTGCTTAAAAAAGTATTAATTTCTTTTAAAAAAATCTTACTGACCCCAAGCTTATATATAGGTAAAATATAAAGATCCACATCTATTCCATAATATACACCATATCTAGAAGAATTTGAAGCTGACCTCCTGTTGTCCAGTGAGTAGGAGGAAATGACTGAAGTCATCTTGAGCAGATAGGGTGAGTGTGTCCTGTGGGCCTAGTGCACTTCTATATACACTTATCCTCTCCTCAAAAAAGCGTGCTGCTGAATCTACTGAAACAGAAAAAGAGATGAACATAATCACACTTCTTTAGTTTTCTCTAATGCCTTTTTACACAATATGAGTCCTCCACTTCCCCTTGAAGAGCTATTCCAACACATCATCATATTTTTCATTTGATTAGCTGAGGGTCACCTTCAAGAATTTACTGCTACTTGTTATGCAGGGCAGCTAACACAAAGCTCTCCCTATGTATAGTGCTAAACACAATTCACTCCAATGACAAACTCAAAATGTTGGATCAGATCTAAGTCATCTAAATGACAGGATGCCTTTTGGTCATGATGCATATTTACTATTTTTAATTATACTAATATTGACTTCATAACACATCTCATCATTTCAGTGTGATGCTCGGGGTCTAATTAAATCCCCCGTACAGACAGACTATTGTGCATGCAGTCGGTCACTGTTGTGATGAGGCTCTGAAGTGGAAGAGTAGGCTAGAGCCAAGCTGTGAGCGATCTGGGCCCCCTCCAGACCCCCAGGACTCTGACTAAGAGCTATGGAATGAGCCTGCAGAAGAAGGAGTGAGAGATACAGAGACTTGAATACAGATATATCACATATCACACCCACCCTGAAACAGGGGAAATATTCATCAATAGTCAACTATCAATAGTTCCTGGCTTTAAATAACTCTGCTGTCTCGTTTTAAAAACCATTAGACTGAGGATGTCAAAAAACACAACACATGGGCCAAATATGGCTTGTGGAGGAATACAGTCTGACCTATGTGATGATTTATAGAAAAAAAAAACAATTATATAAACATTCCCATCCATTTATTATACTGGTATGATGTATTTATAATATTCTATATTTAAGTACAGTATTACAGATTTGTTTTAATTTGTTGCATCTGCATAAAGTTGTACAGCCTTTTGTTTATTTACATTTAGGTCTTTTTTTGGTCTAACTTTATACTGATGCTTGGTTTCAGATAGCTTGTTAGAGTAAGCCAAGAGAAGAGAGTGATTCTCTTCTTTGTCAATATTGTCATCTGATTAATATTTCTTAATTACTAATTTCATGCACTACTGTTCCAAAGTTCAGGGTCCTTATGACTGTTTAAAGTTTTTGAAGGAAGCCTTTTAATCTGCAAGGCTGCATTTATTTGATCAAAAAGACAGTGAAAAAACTGTAATACTGTGAAATACTATTACAATTTAAAATAACGGTTTACTATTTTAATATATTTTTTATTTATTCCTGTAATCGCAAAGCTACATTTTCACATCAGCAGCCATTACTCCAGTCTTCAGTGTCACAAAACCAATTCACTTGGTGCTCAAGAAATATTTCTTCTTATTATTATTATTATCATCATCACAATGTTGAAAACTCAATAGTTTTACAGAAACCATGATACATTTTTTCTGGATTTTTGTATGACTAGAATTTACTCATATATTATAATTTTATATTTTATTAATATGAAATAGAAATATTCTGTAACATTATATAGTTATATAACAGTTATATAAGTTTTATACATATATATATACACATATATATACATATACATATATAGTAACTCAGCCACAAAGCGGAATACAGCAGAGTCATATATGGTGCATAAAAGTCTCAGTGTCATATCAGTGCCTGGCCCCACAAATGCTCACCTGGATAAATGGGCAAAAATCCAAAGGCCCCCTGATGGATGAAATTAGTAAATTACATATGCTTCCTTGATAACCCCAATATTGTTGATTAAAGCAGGATTAAGGTGATGATTAAATGGGTTTGACACCTCTGCATTAGGTTACTCATCTAATTTGAGTTCAGCAGAGTGTAATTCTCTGAAGGACAGGAATAATCCCTGCGGTGTTTACCAGTAGGAGATGCTCAATGGCTCTATCCAGATGTCCCTGTGCCTGTTCAATGGCCGCCATGTTTCTGTAAACACAGCAGATCCGACTGAGCTGAGCTCCTTCCTGAAGCAGCTCCAAGGCTCTTTCACACTGACTGAGGGCCTTCTCAGGCTTTCCCTGCCGCTGGTACACCCTATCGAATACAAAACAGACACAAAGATGTCATGTCATAAAATCAATACACAATGTCACATACAGCACACTGTTGACCTCACTTATGCATGCCATCAATAAGAATGGCTCATTTGTAATGCCAGGCATGAGCAAAAATGCCAGAACAATGACAGGAAGAAGGTCAAGAAAAGCCTGTTCATGCGAACTGGTTAAAAACAGGAAGAACTGCTGTGTATCGCATAGAACGGCGGCACCAGCTCTGGACCTTCAATGAGCCTTCGTTTCTTTTATTAAGATGAGAAGTGCAGCAAATCCAAACATGCCCTGCAGCTCTGAACTCAATACACAAGAGCTCATGTCTTTATTAGTTGTAATTCTCCTCTCTCAATATCAGCCTTGAGGCATCTAGTCTCACTCCTGAACAATGCACAGACTCACTGCTGTCTGCTATCTGTGAAGAAATGAAGTACAGAAGAGTTCAATGCTGTTCTATAAAAAGTATTCAGTTCAAGTCAGTTTTTTTTAGATATTTTAAACAAAACTATTTAAAAGTCTGGGGTCTGTAAATGTTTTTAAAAGAAGTCTCTTACACTCAACAAAGGCTGCATTTAATTGATCAAAAATGAAGTAAAAACATTAATAGTGTGAAATATTAATACAATTTAAAAGAACTGTTTTGCATTTTAACATTTTAAAATGTAACTTATTCCTGTGATAACAAAGCTGAATTTTCAGCATCATTACTCCAGTCTTCAGTGTCACATTATCTTTCAGAAATCATTCTAATATGCTGATTTGGGGCTTGAACAAACATTTCTTATTATCACAGTTGAAAAAGTTGTGCTGTTTAAATGTCTGTGGAAACTGTGATCATTTTTTCCCTGGATTCTTTGATGAATATAAAGTCAAAAGTCAGAATTATTTGAAATAATCTTTTGTCTTTTTAATGTCCCTTTTGATCAATTTAATGCATCCTTGCTGAATAAAAGTAATTAATTTTTATTTTAAAAAAAACGTGTTACTTCATATTGTTTTAAATAGTTTAAAATTCTAAAAGTTTCTAAAATTCTGAAACAGATTTTCAATTTGGTCTCAGAATTTTAGATCTCACACATGTCCATAACTATACCGAGATGCTACTCTCTGATGTGTGCAGGTGTATAGCACTACTCTTTATGGAGACATGCTTCACCAATCCATCTTGTTAAAAGCCTTGAGTCCTTCCAGATTCATCCACTCTAATGGATCCCTAACTCAATTTCCCATCTCAGAGGGAGTGGCCTGCTCATGCAGCATCCTTGCTCCATAAATATAAAGCTAGTAAAAAATCTTACATCACAAACAAGGTTAAAGCTTGATTAGTGGATTCCCACAGTGCACCTCTGAAATAGCAAGTGGATTTTTAACATAGATGGTTGACATTACACATCATCTGTAAGTATTCATGCATATCTGCATAATTTGATGATGATGGAGCTATAAACACGTCTTATCTTCAATCTTTGGTGTATATTTTAGGATTGGAACATACATTTTATTCAAATGAAATCAAAAAAAAAAACGTGTTACTTCATATTGTTTTAAATAGTTTAAAATTCTAAAAGTTTCTAAAATTCTGAAACAGATTTTCAATTTGGTCTCAGAATTTTAGATCTCACACATGTCCATAACTATACCGAGATGCTACTCTCTGATGTGTGCAGGTGTGTAGCACTACTCTTTATGGAGACATGCTTCACCAATCCATCTTGTTAAAAGCCTTGAGTCCTTCCAGATTCATCCACTCTAATGGATCCCTAACTCAATTTCCCATCTCAGAGGGAGTGGCCTGCTCATGCAGCATCCTTGCTCCATAAATATAAAGCTAGTAAAAAATCTTACATCACAAACAAGGTTAAAGCTTGATTAGTGGATTCCCACAGTGCACCTCTGAAATAGCAAGTGGATTTTTAACATAGATGGTTGACATTACACATCATCTGTAAGTATTCATGCATATCTGCATAATTTGATGATGATGGAGCTATAAACACGTCTTATCTTCAATCTTTGGTGTATATTTTAGGATTGGAACATACATTTTATTCAAATGAAATCAAAAAGCTCTTAATCTGAATGTCCAATTGGATTTAATGCAATCAGGGGAAAAACACTCAAGGGCGACATTTGCGAAATGGCAAAGATTTTAAGCACGACTCCACCAAGGTTTTCTCATGTGCACGCTGGAGCACCCTGGCAATTTTTCAAGGCTGCATCAGAAATTCCAGACTCTGGGTTTCCTTTTAGTGCCAGCGGGACCAACTCTATTGTCATGCTGCCTGGGTACACAAACCTAAACACATCCTGTATTATGCCACGCAGTGCCAGCGTAATACCAGCCATCCTCTCAGGCATCCTCAGTGGGAGGAGAGATATAATCTGCGTGGAGAAATCTGATTTAATGTCCGTTGTGCAGGGGCATAATGCAATTAGGGAGTTTTACATGAACTGCCAAGTAGTCCCCCAAGCCTTCTGCTTAGTAATTGTTAACAGACCTATGCTGACGTAGACTGTGTATGAAAGATTTCAGGCCTGATAGAGAGCAGTGCCAGGCAATATTAGGGATAAATAGAGACATAGAGCAACAGAAAAGACATCGTCGCCTTTAAAAAAATGAAAATAAACACTTAGATTACTTCATACTGGCACAACAGCACTCCAAGTTTAATCTCCAGCTAAATTTAGCTCAACTTAATTTATACCATTACCAAAGTAACCACAAAGCAGTGATTTAAAGGGACAGTTCACTCAAAAATAAAAATTCTGACATTATTTACTCACCCTCGTGTTGTCCCAAACCTGCATGACGAAATAAATGTTTTGAAAAATATGTTTCATCCATACAATTAATGTTAATATTTTGGACCCCTTTCACTTTTGTTATTTGGGCAAAAACAGTTCAGTTTCTGCAAAATACACTGTAAAAAAATCCAAGTTGCAAAAAGAATTGCTAAATAGTAAACAATCTTTAATTGCCTTGAGAAGATTTTTTAAATTCAATAGACTGCTTCTTACTCATTGAGTCAACAAAAGTATTTCAAAAACTATATTTTAGAAGTTGTTAGTTAGTTATTAGTTGAGTAAACTTTTTTAAGTTGGGTCAACTTTTTTTTAGTGTATCTTCTTTTGTGTTCTGCAGAAGAAAGTAATACACAGTGAACTATCCTTTTAAAACAGTTTTCATCAAGACCCAGATATTCTATCAGCCATCAAGTGGATGTTAAGTGGATGGATGATTTAACATAGCAAAAATGAAACCCTTGACCTTTTAAGCTTTGTTTGCTCACAGGCTTAGAGTGTGAAAAGACACAAGGAAACTTACACTTCACTTCTGAATTCTGTCAAGGCCAAAAAACCCAACCAGCACATGTTCAACAAGGGCTGATGGAAATATGTGTGGAGAATCATGTCAGTATGATAGTGATATGCTGACTCTGATGTCCACTCGCTCATGGCCTCCATCCGGATGAAAAAGCTGGAAGCTTGTGTCATTGTTTCTGGGTTTTGTGGAGGTATGTGTTGATAGCGCAGGCTCACTCATTTCAAATATGTCAACAGTAGTTTTATAGTCAAAGGCAGAAGAATTAGAAGCTTTCACCACAACTCACATACGCACATTCTTCTGGGACTAACAAAACCAGCTGACAAACCGATGAAAACACAATCTGCTAAGGGTAGCAAATAATTACCAATGCTCAAATTTCCCTACATAATATTATAAATACAATATTATTTATTAATATAATTAATGAGCTTTACTGTATAACAATTTATATTCTCTAGCACAGATGCCCTTACTTACATAAAGAGCAGCAATAATAAAACTTGAGATGGCCCTGAGAGTTCTAATGTCACTCTGCACTCACAACATAAACACAGCCGGCAGACAAACACAGTCGTTCACTGTCACAGTCAAGCCTGGTTAGCCATAATAAACACTAGGATCAATACAAGCTATTGAACAAGTTAATCAAGTCCTCCTGTGGGAGGATTATTACCCTGAGAAACAAAAAATCTTTGAATAATGCCGTCACATACAAACTCAAGCCAAAAATGTCCCAAATAAAAAAAATGTCTTAATAATAAACCCTTTGCTTTATGTATGTTTAATAAATTGATGCAAAAATGTATAGAGATGCTTTTCTGCTCTGCACTAAATCTGACCAAACTGGAAAGAGTAGTGTGGAAAGATTATATGTGCCAGCTTTACAGGCACTCTTAAGATATGATTATACAGAACAAAAAACGCTTCTGTTTCTATTTGTCAAGAAACAGGGAAATTTGTGAAATTTATCATAAAGCTTCAACTCTATTGTAATGCTGTTAGGATTTTTTTGTGGATGAGGAGCACCACCTTGTGGTGAAAAATATCCTTTATACTGCTGATATTAGCTTGCGGTCCTAATGAAATTCCAGAGGTTCATATAATCATTATTTTGCTTGGCCCCTCAAAAAATACAAAATAAAAAAAAAAGAGAACAATATCTAAATGTAGCATAACAACAAATTCTGATGCATATATGAAAGTGTTATCTTACTTACAAGTGCATCAGTGTCAACTCGGAGTGATGCCAGGAAAAACATGGATTTAAACCTGAACCTGATATTTGAAACTGCAGAAGTCAAAAGAAATAAATAGACCACAGCATGTGATTCACCGTAGTGCTTTGTGTGGATATCAATGTGGACATGGTTGCCACATCCTATTTTAACCCTTTAAACAAGTACATGTGTTTATTATGCAATAAGAAGAATGGGAAAATAGATTGAGATGTTTCTAAGGGTAATTACAAAATGAATCTCTTTCCTCTTAGTCCCAGACCTAAACATTTATTCAGGGTTGTATTTAAAAGGAAGACAAAGAGAGGCAGTAATTCATACAGTAGCCATCTAATGTTAGATTATATCTCTTGTTAGTCCAGCTATGTCATTACAGTCAGCCAATTGAGATTAAAATGGTCCCGTACCTTGCTAAATTTGTAAATATTTCATACGCAGTACCCACTCTGTCCTCCTTCCCCATGGCTTCTTGCGCTACAATGTCTCCCATGACTATCTCTGCCTTCTGAAAGCTTGACTCGGCCTCTGCTAAAGTTCACATGGTTAAGTGAATTAACATATGACTGTCACTATTCCATCATCTGAAACAACAAGGTTTGTATGATGACTTATCAAATTTTACTACTTTGCTAAGTTTAATAATGTCATGAACAGAAAAATATACAGGTGCATCTCAATAAATTAGAATGTCGTGGAAAAGTTCATTTATTTCAGTAATTCAACTCAAATTGTGAAACTCGTGTATGTGCTTCTATAAAGGATTTGAACACTTAAGATGCACTTAAAAATTAACTGTATGAATATGATTGCATTAAATGCTTATGTAAACAAGGATATTTTCCAAGCAGTAGAGAGGCACTTCCAAGAGTCTGATGCATGCTAAGGAAGCAGTTGAGGTAGCTCATTCTCTCCTCCTGCTGACTGGAGACGGAGTACTTCATGTGCTTTTGATGCATGTTCTTGTGCCTGATGTGCCCAACCTGGGAAATATGAGGTCATTAGATTGTTAGGAGGTAATTAATGTTACATTTTTATGTTGACATTATATGACTGCCTAATAAATCCATATGCATGATGCACAGTCAATGAAGGGTTTATTTTTCAATAGTAACAAGCTCACTGTTCATTATTCTCATTATTGCTAGTAAGCAAGTAAGCTTTAGCCAGTCTTGACCGAGCTTGAGCCACTGCAAAATGCTAATTTCCATAAACCAGTCTGCTCAGTGCAAGGCAACGCACAAGCTCTTGGATACAGGGGTCATACTGCAAAGGTTGAACAAGCATAAAACTTTCAACTAGAGAAATAAAACAAAACATACATTGAATATAATGATTTGTATGTGTCTAGCTGTTGTTGTTTTTTTAAACCAGACCTTTGGTTCTGTACTGAAGAATAAGAACATGCCTGGGGAGCTTTATGTAATTCATAATGGATCATACTGAAATGTTGGTGCACTAATAAGGTTACATAAATCAGTAGGAGAGAATAACATTAGAGTCTGAGTCATGTATTTCTGGGTATAAGATTATTCCATGTGTACCTCTTCGCTATCAGCCAAAGACTGAGCCCGTCTCTCACAAAGCGATAGTTTCTCTGCAGGAGTCATCATACTGTAATTCTTCACATCTGCTTTCTGTGAGATGATTGTTGAATCTGCTTCCTGCAGGGATTCTGCTGAACTGGCACTGCTGCTCATGTTGAAGCTGGTGAATCTGTAAAAGTTCAGAGCTCGTTTGTGTCTCAGAAAAGTGAATTGGCTACCTAGACAGCAGTTCTGGGCAGATACTGTAATTGAATATGTTTTGAGAAACATCACACTTTCTTTGCATGGCAAGATGCACTGAACGTGGTTGCTGAGAGACTGTCAGCCCCTAACATTCTGCTAACATCTCCTTTTGTGCTCCACTCAAGAAATAACGTCAAGATTTTAAACAACATGAAGGTGAGTAAATGATGACAGTGTTCTTCTTTTTGGATGAACTACATCTTTAACAGCGACATGAAAATGGATACATACGATTCATCGAGCGCAGCCCCAGAACAGCTCTGCTGTGATGCGCGAAACTATCCGCTGTGCGGTGCCAGACTCATTTTAATGGCGAAGACAAAAAAAAATCAACCGTCAATTCATAAGCTGACAGCTGATGGTAATAATTAGGTCTCCTAACAAGAACTCTCTTAAGACTGTTATGGTCTTTTCAGGCACCATGGAAGGTAGAGCTGTGTGCAGCCGAGTAACGAATATCACGAAAACCCAAACAAACGCTGTAATTGGTTGATTCCCACACATGGGTGAGTCATGTGACTCTCAAGACTGCATTCATTAATAAAATATTGCATTTTAAAGGGGTCATATGATGTTGCTAAAAATAACATTATTTTGTGTATTTGGTGTAATGAAATGTGTTTATGCGGTTTAAGGTTTAAAAAACACATTATTTTTAATATATATATATATATATATATATATAAAAGCTGTCAATTGAGGGGCTGCCAACCTGTGAGGGACAGTGCAGTCTGACCATAGTTACACTTTTTTTTTCTGTTGTGAAAATATATAAGAGAAAAATATATAAATAATTGCCCGTTAATGTCTGTAGCAGATTTTATTTTGAGGATATAATTACAGGTTAAATCAATTGATTTTGATGGGATTGTGTTCCTCATAATAAACTAAGGCCCCACTAGGCTATATGAGCTATATGAGCCATTGCCAAGTGTATCTATCATAAATAGTTACTCATAAATCTATTTATGAATACTCACATTATGATAATAAGCCCACATTATGTTGTGAGTAGTTGACGGAATGCAGTGCATTATGGGCCGGTATTCATACTTACGAAACCAATAACACCAAGCAGCGAAGGAATCAAATTACTTTCTGTGAGTAGCATTCAGTAGTCTTAAGAGTTTGATACCACTTAATTTTTTATTCAGGACTGAAGCCTTCAAGGACTGTGAGCAATTAATCTGGTATGATTATGGAAGCCAGTCTAACATTAAAGATCAAATCTGTTGCATTTGCTTAAATGGCTTAAAGTGTTGCAAAGTATGCCATTTTTTTCCAATTTAGTGTAATTTAGTACATGGAATGAGGTAAAGCGGGTGCAATGGAGAAGGCAGTAATGTCAAAACCATTTGGTCCTAGCTAAATATAAATAAAAAATAAAAAGATGGAATGGCCCCTATACTGGCTTTCACTGAGAGAAATATGAACAGAACAAATGGCAACTAAAAGAGGCAATTACATTCCAAAGAGTACTTTCTCCTTTCTGTATATTTACTAATCTATCTATCTAGGCTATCTATCTGTCTATCTATCTATGGATTGAAATGAACTGACAATTCTTAAATCGTCAAGATAAACCTTATCCTTTTTTTTTAAGTGACACAAGCAAGAGATGTGGGAGAGCAGAAAATGTGGTAACACTTTACAATAAGGTTCATTAGTTAACTACATTAGTTAACATGAACTAATAATGAACTGCACTTATACAGTGTTTATTAATCTTTGTTAATGTTAATTTCAACATTTACTAATACATTATTAAAATCTTTAACATTAGTTAATGCACTGTGAACTAACATGAACATCTGTATTTTTATTAACTAACATTAGCGTAGATTAGCAAATACAGTAACAAATGTATTGCTCATGGTTAGTTCATGTTAGTTAATATATTAACTAATGTTTAACAAATTAACCTTATTGTAAAGTGTTACCGAAAATGTGTCTGTCTTTTTAAATAATGATAATAATAACTTTATATTTATATCTTGCCTAAATTTGAACATTATGCCCTGTCATGATTTTAATACCCACAGATGCTTTGACCTGCTGTGTTCAAGTAATGACTGATTTCTAAGCAAAAGATATGTGTGGCAAACTCAGAGAGGCATTCATTTCATCAACATTCCCTTTTTCATTTTGAATTGTTTGCTGTTCTTTTCTCTCCTCATCTGTGTAAAGTTAGGCTATAATGAAGTGCAGTCTGCTTTACATTAACGCTAATATAATACAATTTGCTCTATTCAAGTGGGGATTAGCCATCAGTTTCCTTTCCATCCATTTTTAACGTTTTATACGAAAAGATCTAGCTGTTTAGTATTGTTTTCTCCCTTGGAATTTGTTACATAGTTCTAGAGGGATCCAAACATTGCGCCTACATTTTGGACGGCATCTTTATGCATGTCTATGAATCAAAGGCATCTGATAACATTAAGTTCCATTCATCACCTTCATCTTTACCACGTCTTCAAATACAACATCCACTGGCGACAGAGAGGTTAACCCGAGCAGTGCAAAAATAGGATCGCGTTCATGTCACTCCCTCAAAGGCTGGAGGTTCACACCTCTTTTCAGGTTTACATCTGGACTGAGCCGCACAACCTGCTCCCCCTCAAAATCTAGTCCTCAGCGTACATCCACAGCCCTACTTTACTTATCTACAGCTGGAAGATGAATTATTGGCTATTTGATTTGCAGCAGTGTAATAGTTAAATCAGTGCCGAATGCGTTATTTGATGTGGTGTGTGGTGCCTAAGCTTGAACAGTCGTCTACAGTGAGAAGATGGCGTCGGACGGAGCGAAAGGGGAGCAGCCACCTCCGCTACAAACACTGGTAACCACTGGCCATGGAAGCGTCGAGGCGGTGAGATACATTTAAGCATAAAATGACATCTTGTCAGCCGCAATGATGATTACCGCGAATGTTAATTATGACAGGGAATGAATGGAGTTAATAGAATAGGAATCGTCCAGTGCTGTGATCATAACTATCAGTGAATGTGTTACGGTGGTCCGTCTGTATATGGAGGAGACTGACTTTGTTAGAATTTGACATTAAGATTTCCTATTGTATCCTTTATTTCGTGCAGAGCACAGTACTGTATAAAGTGCCCGATTTTTTTTTTCTTATTGTATCTTTAATGTGCAGCTGCGCACGATTTAATATGGTAAGCATAGAAGCTGGTTACCTTCCAAATATTGAATATTTATCAGTCGCGTTTATAATAGGTGCGATCTGTTGTCACGTTTCGAAATACCATGATAATTGAAATCAAGGTATTATTATCAACTGCTTTTTAGCATGTTTAATGTAATGCAATAATATTTCGAATCTTTAATAATCATATATATGTATATATGTGCATATATATAGTAGTTATTATTATTGATATTGTATTCTTAAAATTATACGTCAAATAAAATATACAGTATGTATGTATGTGTGTGTGTATATAATAATAATAATTAATGCATTTAGCAGATGCTTTTATCCAAAGCGACTTACAGTGCATTCAGGCTCTACATTTTTTACCAGTATGTAAAAAATACATATATATAAAATATATATATTTTTATACATATAAACACACACACACACACACACATACAAATATATATGTCAGACATACAAATAATTATATCAGTATAATACATTTATAAAGTATAATAAATTAAGTAATAAATAATATATACAGTGGGTACGGAAAGTATTCAGACCCCCTTAAATTTTTCACTCTTTGTTATATTGCAGCCATTTGCTAAAATCATTTAAGTTCATTTTTTTCCTCATTAATGTACACACAGCACCCCATATTGACAGAAAAACACAGCATTGTTGACATTTTTGCAGATTTATTAAAAAAGAAAAACTGAACTTTCCGTACCCACTGTATATATATATAATATTTTGTAATACATTATAAAATCAATTGTAAAATTAAATGTACTGTATATACACATAAGTATATGAACTGTATATATTTGTTCATATTTATTTCATATAGGTATACTTTATACATTTTATATATGTATTATACTTTAATATATATATATATACACACATATACTGTATATATATATGACATTTTCTTAAATAAGGAATACATTATTATAATGCAACAATAATCGAATTTCACACATTCTGATGACAAGTTTTCAACATATATGGATGAACCCCACTTACCACTCTTAAAAAATAAATAATAACCCAGGAGAGATGCTATAGAGCCCTCCAGATTTAAGATTTGTGTCTTATCTTACCATTTATCTTTTTTAATTAATTTGCATGACAGACAAAACATCACTTCTGAATACCATAGCCAGCCATATAGCAAATTCTTACAGATGAATGTTTCAGTGATGCACAGAGGGGCACAGAAATGAAGCAAAAAGAGAGATGTAAGGAAGCGGAGGCGGACTGGTGGGGGGTGGGGGGGATGGGGTAGTTCACAGGAGATGTTTCTAAATCGGTCTGAATTTTAGTGACTCAGCTGGCTCAGAGTACTGTGTCACCCAAGCGATCTGAGCTGCTTTAACTGCTCAATGCCCCCTTACATTTAGAGTCGGGTTGAACAGGTGTGCAGTTTTCAGCTCTGCCCATTGGCCAGTGGTGTGAAGTCATAAATCTCTGTCTTGTGCATTTACCCAGACACCTTTCTCAAGGGCTACATACCCTTACAGAGGTATGTAAGGTCCATGAATAGTTTAATAGAGGGAGAGTTTTGTTTATCAAGTGTGCTGAAGTGGTCTGACCCCATCCATACCCAATCTGGCTTGAGAAAAGAATTGCTTCAATGACTCAACATTGCATTCGAGAAAGCATTGTGCAAGGCCTGGGCAACAGCATCTCCAGCTGACCAGTATTGCCTTTTTTTTCTTCGACCTCAGCACTCTCAGTATTGCTTTATCTGTGGATTCCCACCATTGACTGGGGTTGCAATTCTCATTATGCTAGAATATATTCTTCAAGAATAAATCATACAGTAGATATATTGTACTCTGACATCTGTACGTTAGTTTCTGAAGAAGATTCTATGTCTATGCTACGATCAGTGTTGCAGTTAGGATCACACCTGAAAAACTGGACACAATTTGATTAACCAGCCACTACTCTCTAATTTCTCGTTACACAGAGATCAGTCACATGTGCCAGTTAGTCAATTTCAACGAGACTCACTCATTAGAGTTCTTACATACAATATATGGAATGGAACATTAGAAGTTGGTCTTTGACAAGGTAGACGTCCTAATGAAGCACATCATTTGTGGAAAGGTCACTAGAGCTACTGCTCTTTGTTACAGGCCCTAACGATGTGAAAAATCTAAGACATTTTGATTGGGCTAATGTAACTTCCATAGTAGGTGAATATGTATTCGATCTAATTATATCTTTTTCTGACTGTCTGTTCAATTCTATTCAATTACATAGTCCTCCAGTTAGGAAGAACAAGTGATTATTTTTGTTTTTTTGTTTTTTTGTCAAAAGCTTGTTGTCTTTGTCTTTTTTTTTTTTTTGCTGTGTGATGTTAAATCTTTTTCTGGATATTTCATTGCATACTACTAATTTAATTATACTGTACTGTATTGTACTGTATTGCCTTCAACTACGTGCATCACTGCTGTTTAGTTATTCATTATCTTATGGGGGGAAAAATATAAACATTGAACTAAAACCAACTATTATAACATATATATTATAACAAATGTGTAAGGTATTATAATTTAAATAATGGTTTTATAAGGCTGTATAATTCATGAGTTGTTTTATTAATAGTTCTTTGGATTTTTTAAGGTGAAAAGTAGGCCCCGCTAGATGCAGTATTTGTTTTAAAGATGAAGATTTATAATTTATCTTTCCATTAAGATTTACTGGTGGAGATGAACCAATGTATCGTAAACTGATATTTATTTGCCCATTACTGATCAAATTAAAATCACCAGTATATCAGACATGAACTTGAAAACACATATCAAATTAGCAACAGTGTAGAACAACAACTATTGTTTGTGTGGAAACATTTAAATAATTCCACAGGTTTAGGGGCCAAAGATATATTTAAAGGGGTCATATGATGTTGCTAGAAAGAACATTATTTTGTGTATTTGGTGTAATGAAATGTGTTTATGCGATTTAAGGTAAAAAAAACACACTATTTTCCATATACTGTACATTATTGTTTCTCCTCTATGCCCCGCCTTTCTGAAACGCGTAGATTTCGCGTTTTACGCGTACAAAGCTCATCGTTCTGAAAAGCGAGGTGTGCTCTGATTGGTCAGCTATCCAGTGCGTTGTGATTGGTTGAATTCCTCAAGTGTGTGACGAAAACAAAAACATTAAAACCCATTATAAACGAGGCATTTGTTGCATCCAGTGGATTATAATGACATATACTGTCTTTTTACGCATTGCATCGCGCCGTGTAAACATAAAACCATGTCTACATTTGTGATCGGAGAAATGACAAACAACAAGCGCTACTCTACACTGCTCAAAACTCGCGTTTTAAAACTCCATAAAATGCGCTGGACACATCTTTAAAAAATGTATAATACTTTATGTATTTATTTTTTGTTGTTGAAATTGCTGTCAGATAAAATTGTTCAGATCATTGCATACCTAATTACTACCCAAGGGAGCTTAGACGAGACAGAACTTCTGGTTTCAAAAGTAGTTGGTTAATGGTTCAGTGAAAACGTAATACTGTGGGCCGTGAGATCGGTGCCCACTCAACACCTCCTCTGCCAAGGATCTAGTAGACCTTGCAGTGTCATAGATGCAGTGTCATTTTCCTGTAACAAGGCTCGTGTTCTTGCTCTGTGTGTTTCAGAAATGTGAGTTGAACATCGACAACCTGAGCAAACCAGAGCTCCTGACCCTTTTGAGTATCATGGAGGGAGAACTTGAGGCCAGAGACCTGGTCATTGAAGCTCTTAGGGTGAGTATGAAATCTCTGCACTTGTACGTCCTACATTTGTGCACATTAACTGTATAAAATAACAACATATCCTCATTATATTGAAGATCGCGGTGGGTGCAGCATGTGCTCATGTGACCTAAAAGTGGTTAGGCACATGGGGATTTAGGGTCTGTCCCATTTTGTTAACCAGATCCTTGTCTCTTTATACACTTTTTTTTATTTCACAGATACACTTCAAAAGTTTGGGGTCCGTAAGATTTGTTATTTAAAAAATGAATCATTATTCAGAAAGGATGCATTAAATTGATCAAAAGTGACGGTAACAACATTTATCTGTTAAAAAAAGATTTCTATTTTAAACAAATGCTCTTCTTCTGAGCTTTCTAGTCATCAAAGAATCCTGAAAAAATATATCATGGTTTCCACAAAAATATTAAGCAGCACAACTGTTTAAAACTTTAGAAATTATTAATGAGCACCAAATCAATAGAGAACGATTAGAATGATTTCTTAAGGATCATGTTACACTGAAGTTTGGAGTAAATTTTACCTTTTGCCATCACAGGAAAAGATTCAATAGAAAACGGTTCTTATGAATTATAATAATATTTCACAATATTGCTGTTTTACTGTATTTCTGATCATATAAAGACTTCTTTCAAAAACATTTAAAACAATCTTACCGACCCCAACTTTCATACATTAGTACAGAGGTGATGTTTGTTTTTGTCAATCCAAGCACACTTTTAATGTCTTAAGGAGATAGAAAGTGTTTAGGGCTTAGCAGAAGAGCCGAGTCAAGGGGATTGTAAGGTCATGGTACAGCATTTGTCCCTATTTGTCTTTGCATTAAGGTCAGACGTTCACACTGGTGTAAGAGTTCTAGTACTCAAGTACCAAAATCAAGGTCAGGAGTGTCTCTATATTTTCAGGTGTTCTAGTTCAGGTTGTCTCTGTGAGTTTCTAGGCCAGTGTATTAGCAAAATGATGGGCACATTTTCTGTCTCTCCATCTCAGTCTCCCTTCCTGTCTCTTTTTTGCTTAGTGTATGCAGGTTTGTGATGTTCGCTTGTGTCATTCACCCTCTTCCGCTTTACTCTGAGATGGTTTCCATGCATTTTAGAGGCATGCACTTTTTGTTATGCTGTTCCCTTGGATGCAAGCATTTCCCAGCTGGTTTTCCCCCTGTGGATATACTATCTCTTTCTCTCCCTCCCTCATCCCTCATTCCCTTTCCACAGCAACCAGCTCAAGCACAATGGTCTCGTTTGTTTCCTTAGGGAGATAGTGATAGGGCCAAACACATCCATACCGACTTTTAGACATACCACTTTAAAAAAAAAGCCAAATAATGACATTTTGTTTATTTCCTAGGCCATACTGTAATTATTGCATTTGATACATGAGAGATGAAAGCAGCAATCCTATGCATTATTAAGGAGCTGTGCGTTTAATTAGCGAGTTGAAAAAAAGCTCTGTGTGATGTATCGTTTTTCATCAGAAACAATGGCGGGAGTCACATGCCTACAAACCCTCGGACTTGCGTTCAGAGCCAGCCCCGTTATATCCAGTCATATCAGTTCAGTTTTTGGGCCAGTGTCATCTTGCATTGTAAAGTTCATCGCAAGATAAATGGAAGGTCTTTAGTGCAGACAGATCACTTTGAAATGGTAAACAGTCCCATATGGACATCTGGATACAGAATATAGATGCTCACAAGCCATTACGTTTCAAGTGTGCTTATTTCCATTCATAAAGCCAGAAGTGTCAAGTGGCGTAATGGCAGGTCTGTGTACAATGGCAGGACTACAGAGTAACTTTTCTGACACAATGTAGTTTATTAATTAATGTTCTCCTCATAAGTTTGTCATTATGTAAATCTTAATTTCCCCGATTAAAACCCCCCCCCAAAAACAGGCTAAAGCTAGTATGAATGTCCATGCTGGTTAAGGTGGGTTAGCGCTAATTTAGCCATAGCCATAATGTTCACTTTCCTGGTAGCTGATAAAGCTGGTGGTACTATCAGTATCTTTAACACTTAGCCTCATTTGTTGGATGGTTAAATGTTGTTGGATTGTTGTTAGTATGTTGTTAATAGGTTCTTCACTGTAGCAAGAAATAGTATGTCACTGTTCCAAAACCTCTTTGAGATTTTTTTTTTTTGGCGAAATCCAGTGATTTCAATAGAAATCCACAAATCTTCGCATGAGGGTGAAATATGTAGCACATGAATATTGGGTAAAATAGTCCATCAAAAGAAACTTTTTTTATTGTTATTTTTTGATACTATATAAATTATACGGTAGGTATTGTATTTTTTTTACACTGGTCTTGCTTTTTCTGCCATCTTGGCTTTTTTTCACTGCCCTTGTAGCAATGCATTGTGGGACTGCATTCTCTGAAAAGGATACATGTGATGCTGCATTAGAATTTGGCCAAAAAAATCTTGTGGGACGGTCTTCACATCGGGAACACACCGTTGAATGCCTTAAAATGCTGCCTATGTAGGCAGCTCTCTAGGTTTTGGAACAGAGCCTGTGAGTATCTCTAGGGCAAAAAGTTCACAGCTACTTTTTTTATCTTACTTCCATTGTGTGACCATATTTTGTTTCACCAAAACATATAAGAGCTTTGGCAAAAACCTGACTTGGAATCATAGACAAACTGGACTGGAGTAGTGTAGGCTGTCTGTTTCAGCACTATTCATGTGATTGGTTGCTTCCTGCCTGTGCCGCTATGATTAGATGGAGCCGTTTAGCTTCTGAACACACTTTCTGGCACTGCCACGTGAGCTAATGTCAGGCCATCATCGCTAAATGAAACTGGATACAGGTTCAGAGATAGCAGTTCAGTGCCTCTTTCTCTCCTTGCATATGAGTGATGGTTTGTGACAGTGAACATGTTTAGCCTCTGATGTGAATGCATATTTACTGGAGCCACTGCCTCGGTTCACGTTCACATGGTTATTACGGGGAGCGTCGTACATTTTGTTTCATTCTTTTTGTGTGGTAGATGGTAAGAGTTATTTCCCTGTATGACTGATAAAAATAGTGCACAAACACACTGTGTACAGGGGCCAAAATTAACACTCGCCAATCCCCAAATAAACACTGCCCACTAACTTTACAGGGAACTGCAGCATACATGGCTTAAATTAAATTATATTTTGTATATACATGTTTAAAATAACATTTATATTTATATATTAGTTTTAAATCACCAATAGCAAGTAATTTTGGACACTATCTTCTGTATGTGTAGGTATCAGAATATTTGTCTGAGTATCCATTAATATGTATTATACTTTTAAGGAATTATATGATATTTTGTACATACTTTATTTTATTTAAATTAGATTTTTATATCACTGTTAGTAGGTAATTATATATATATATATATATATATATATATATATATATAGTAGGGCTGGGCGGTATATCCAGTTTGTACAATATATAGATATTTTCTTTATAAGCGATACCGTTTATATCGATATACAGTAGTTTGATACGAGTGCATCTGAAAATATAGCGGAGGACACAGACTGAGCTGCTGCGGAGAAAGTGCATAATCCAATTTGTTCTAAACATATAACAAGCTTCATATTAAGGCCATTAAAAACTGGTAAGACATAGTTTATAGTTTGGTTTCGCATATTAGTTTAAGCGGCTCGGCCTGTCAGCTGCTCTGACTGAAAGGCTGCGTGTGCCGCTGACAGAGACATAGGCTACTCGAGCTGTTTTAATGTGTTTCAGATGCTGTCTTCCTGAATGCATAACTTACATTTCACAGGTATATTCTCCATCTGTAAATTTTAGAAATCCATGGAAATATTTCCATTTTTCTGTCAGAAGTGCATGAGCCTTCTGCTTTGGGATTCTCCGCTAAACTTCAGTGAACGAGCACCACCACGGGCATGCGCGCCAAACAGACAGAGCTCAATTAAATAGGAGAGCAATAATTCTGACTAAAATATAAATTTAGCTGAAATATTTGTAGTTGGACAATAAATGTGACATGTAGAATTTTAAACCTATAAGTAAGTATATTTTTATGAGCATAGTACTGACTGTAAAGTGACTGTAATGGGGTAATCAAAATAGCCTAACACAAGTGCTTTTGTTCTCATTTATTTTCATTTTTAGTTTAGTGAATTTAACTTCCGCTGTAAAAGCCTTATTTTTGTTTTTAGATTACAATGTTACAATGAAATGTGATTTTAACCCTTTTTTGCACATAATAAAGGTTACATTCTGAATGATTTAATGTAACCTTGTAAACAAGGTTTACATGGTTACATTCACTTTATTTGTTTTCATAGCCTTTAATATGTATTGTTTTGTTGGTAGTCGCTTTCAAACAATATCAAGATAAAAGAAGTTACATTAAAAAAAAACGTAAAAAAATGCTTCTCTAGACCTTTTTCGTCGTTTTTTTTTTAATTCCACTGCCCCGCGTCTCCTATTTTTAGGGGTCATATGATGCGATTTCAAGTTTTCCTTTCTCTTTGG